TATAATTATTCAAAAATTTGTCCAGCTCTTCAAATGAACCTTGAAGAGAAAGACGAGAAGAAGTAATTGAAGTAGATAGTGACACAACTATTTTGAGAGTATTACACTCCTACTAATGATTTCTCCTTGCACCGCACCAGATTTTTGACGGAGATAGAATCGGTTTAGTTCCATTCGGAAAAGACACACGAATCGAGTTCGTTTCTGGTTTTTAACACGTTGAAAAAAGAAAGTTTTGCATGTTTTTAGTAAGCTGCATCAAACAACACGATCTCTGAACGACAACAATTATACATTCAACATGGCAGGATCCGAGCGAGAAATAGTAATCTGAAACTTATACTTTATTTATATTGATGCACGCTTTTGATAGAGAGTCAGCTTGGAAAAGCCAGTCTCAAAACAGACTGTGGTTAGTTCAATATGGATTCCTATCGTGCCACAACGACGTGACTCTTCGTCTGGCTATGATCATATACATCCTTCAGCACCACAGTTATACAATGTGATATCAAGCCATACTCCACTGGACAATGTTTACAACAAGGAACTAATCAATGACAAAGTTCAAGTACCGGTAAAGTTTTCTAGTTACAGATATTAATGTGTTCGAAACTATTCAATATTAATTCGATCTCTGACACAATTGCAGTATGTCAGTAACTCTCATTACTATTTTAAAAAGTCGATAGCTCCAAAAACCACTGAGAACTTTTGAAGAAGGACATTTATTGATCTGTTTTAGTTCGACAAAATCGATTAGAATCCTAGTATATTCTTCATTCATTGTAAAAAGAGTTGTTACGTAAAGTATATTGGGTACTAGAATACTCTGAAGAGAAAATTTTATGTTTGAAACTTTATCTAATGTTGTTGCTCTCTACAGTTACCTCAAACAACTTTCTATCTTTAAAATGGAAAACAATTCATTAGGAGCACTTCAAATATAAAATTGACTAAGCTTATAAATTGATGGTTGAACGTCATGCTTTGTAGAATAGTGATGAGTTAACTATATAATCGAGACATGAGTGGAGAAAGTATTTTTTACATAATTCATATTTAAAAAAACATTATCAACTCGATTACCTAGAAGATTTTTCAGAATTATAAACGCTTTATTTGTAGGTCCATGTTGATCGATCGATTGCGATTTGCCACAAATGCAAAAGTCGGATCGATGATAGCAGTCGTTCCCAAATCACATTTAATAACCGAATATATCATCTGAATTGCTTTAGATGTGCTATTTGCCATAAAAATCTAAGTGATTCTCCAAGAAACAAATTCTCAATCGATAATGATAGTGAACCGTTGTGTTCACGATGTGAACTAGTAACTGCAAAAGTTTGCAGTGTCTGTGGAACGCATATTGTTAGTGGAGGGTTGATTACTTTCGACGCTATAAATTATCACACAGATTGCTTTCGCTGTAGTCAATGTCATCGGCCATTGGCTCACGAGAAACAATTGCACACAAGCAATATGAAACCCTGTTGTAGCCAGTGTTACAAAAATCGTTTTGCACCACGATGTGCAAAATGTTCTTACCCGATTTTTGTTGGAGGGTCTATCAATTATAATGGGAAGAAATATCATTCAGATTGTTTTTGTTGTGGACAATGTCATAAAGTCGTGACCGATCAAGAATATTATACACACCTTGGCGAACCTTGCTGCATAAGGTGTTTCAATGAACGCATAGCATTCCGATGCTCACATTGTTTCGCAATAATTTCTGATGGAAAATTGATTACTTGGGATGGAAAGCACTACCATTCAGACTGCTTTTGCTGCGGCCACTGTCAAAAAATGTTGACCAATGAGAAAGATTTATTCAAGCACAATGATAAGCCCTGTTGTATTCAATGTCACGAGGAAATATTTGTACCGCGATGTTCAAAATGTTCGAGACCCATTACCGATATCAAGTGTGCGACATATCAGAATCAAAGTTTCCACATTAATTGTTTCACCTGTTCGAAATGTCATCGTATAATTAGTACCTCAGAAACTTTTTTCAACGACAGAAACGGCGTTTTATGTTTAACGTGTGGTAAATGATTTAATTATTGAAGATGGATTCTTCAAGATTTGGGTACATTGCTTTTTTTTGTTTTGTATCAAGCTCTTGTTCTAAATTCTTTTTTTTTCAAAAATAAAATAATCTTAATTCTTCCAGTATCATTGATTAACAATCAATAAATCCGTCAAAAATATGTCATCAATCTACAGTAAAATATATTTAAGAATTTTTCACAGCTTTCCAAGCACCCTCTAGTGCAAACGATCATATAACTCGATTGTCAGCATGTGCGAATCAAAAACTGAAATGCATAATCATATTTGACTCATTATACACACAAATGACTGGAAAGAAAAAGATGCGACTTTCACGAGTATTAACAAACTAGATAAATTTTTGATGTAAGTAAAACAATTGCTTCTTTTTTCTCTTGCATGTCAACTCAAGTAATCTATTGAAAAATGATCATCAGTATGAACGTTTAACAATATTTTGTCATTGACTCGAGTACTACACTTTTGATTCATATTAAGAGTATTAAATTTCATCACAAAAAACACTCATATCAGTATGTTCTATCATTGTATGTGAGGCAACTCGACACTTTAAGAAGAAATATTCTAAGAGTCGATACAAGTGTTCATGCAACTATCTTATTTTTGACTCGTTGCGAAATCGATTTCCGATTTGTTGGACGTAACTTCGCTACTATGATTGAATGAAGCCTTTGGTTTGTCTTAAAGAGATAATTTCTTCAGAACGTACCTTCGCGTATTCTGCCTATTCTGAAACATTTGAGAATCAATGAAATTCTGAACTTACAAATATTTTTTCTTCACTGTTAACGATTAGCGGACAGAGAACAAAATATAATCCTCGATGTCCGTACAGATCCCAAGCACTCAGAGTTTGTAAGGGTGTCACTGTGGTTGTTTGTTGGTGAAGAGAGGAACTACATCCACAGCCACACCCCCATATGAAGCTTTCGCCTATAATGTGATTTGAAGATCGGACCATTGACAATGATTTTACGACTCAATCGAAATTTATTGGGTATATCGACATTAATTGAAGACATTGCTTCTAATTCATACTTCAATCTGTGTGCCAAAAATTTCTTAATGAAAGTGGCAAAGAACTTTGTCGAATTAACACGTTGTTGAAGAAAATGATATTATCTTTATTCTTTAATTAGCAGTTGCTTGTGTTTGTTAGTTGTATAGAGATGTCAAATGATTGAACACAAGTAAATACATGATGAAAGTAATCATTCCAGAAGAACTTGAAATCTCAGTCATCGTTCCTTCATAATGATTCGTTTCACAGATTAAATCAAAAGAAATAATAACTTCGCTGATAGAGAAGAGTTTCGTTGATAAGCAATTCAACATTTTTAATTATCTTGTTCTTCATTTCTTATTGTAATTTCTTTTCGAAAAGATTCCTACCAGAGTATCTACTGTGGATATAAGACGTCGATTGTGGAATAAAAGAAAACTATTTGCAATAAATATCGACTTCAAAACATCTGATCATTTCTCTAGTCAGTACATAATTTTATTTCATTCTACTTTATTTTGAGCGTAACATCAGTGTTCTCATTCTTCGATAATTTCTATTTGAATCCGAATAAAATCAAAATAAAGATCGACTTGTTGATTCTTTTTTGTATTCATCACTTACAAGTTCTGCAAACTTCTATATAGCTTTGAAAATTTCTTCGATGTCTGTCGTTCTTTTTTTGTACTACATAAATTTATGTATATTGAAAGTTTAACTACATGGTTGTTCATCAGTCATAAGCAATATGCATTAGGCAGCCTGTCGAAGTAGTTTAGTTTTTTTCTCAGATAGATGTTACTCAATCAAAACTATATTTGTTCTAAAAGACTTTAATCAACTGGACTATTCGTTATACAAAATCTGATTCTTTCAAGTCTTGCAATTCTATATTAACGGCATTTTATTGATGGCGCTGAAAGTTGTTTACAATAGAGATGCCACTGGATTACGTCAATGACGTTAATAGGATTGGATCGGCTTAAAACATAAGTTCACTTCGAAAATTCAAAGCACTCCATGAGTTATGATTACAGATTCTTGATCAGGCTGTATTTGGTTACTTATATACAGTCTGAATACGTCTCTGAACTCAAAATTCATAGATATGGTCGGAGTTTAGAAATTTTTTCGAAATTCACTCATGAGTTAATTAAATCCAACTCGACCTAACGGCATATGTGATTTACAAGTGTGCGATAAGAAGATGACAGAAAGCAATCGTGAGTTGGAATTTAATTTTGCTCGAGAAAATGTATACCCCTGAATATTTTGCAACTATACACTAGTCACCATGTTTATTATACGTCATGTTGGAAAGAAATCTGGCTACGACAGAAAATGTTTCTGCGTCTCACTGGTATTTATTTTTTCTTTCTGCGTTATTCGTCCTCGGGAATTGATGGTGAGTGTGTGTGCGCATATATGTGTGTTTGGAAGAATTCGGAAGCAACGCTGAGAGAATCTCGATTAGTCTAATAATAATGGATGCTAAGATAGAAATTCTGGTCACTTCTCATAGAAAACATTCCATGATAACATACTTCCAGATCTATAGATTCGCCTGTCTAGTACAATCCATTTTGATGTAAATTGAAGACATTAAACATAATTTTTCTTTTATTCTTAGAATTGAATTATACCGGCATACTGTCATAGTCTTAAGTTTTCGTCTGTGCCTGTTGTTTATCAATTGATCATTGATTTCATATTTCTTTCCAACATCCATTCACAGGCTGAAGATTAAAGCTACAAGTCTCTTTTATTCATCATATCAATACTTCAGTGTCTATTCTCACCTTAAACAGGAACGAAAAAACTCCTTGAACACGATAAGAATTATTCTTCTTTCTTTCTTTTGCATCCATTGCAACATTGAATTCTATTTAACGTGAAATTATTAGCTTAAACAAAAATGACGACAACATTTAAGCTTGGAAGCACGCCTTTTCTGACTGGTAGTAGCATAGAAGGCAATGCTTATACGCGTCATCTTGCTCAACAACCTATGCAAGATCTTGATTTCATGATAGTTGAAGGAACGATAAAGTCACCTGATTGCATTCTCAAACTAGAGAATGTAGCAGGATTCGTTCAAGTCAAATATGACGAAAGATTCATTGAACAACATTCACCAACACCATTCTCAACCAAATCAAATCAACATGGAGTGTTATGTATCAATGGTTTCAAAATGAAAGAAAAGTACTGTGGTGTCGATGTAAGTTCATTTTTTCCAAGATCAACAGTCACCTCGATCGGTGAAACGACAACAGCATCCGCAAGTGCTGAAATCAAATACAAGAGTATTTTCGAGACTACATCGCTGAGTGAACAATTTGAAACGATACTGAATCTCATTCGACGAATGCGTGTACAAGAAGATGTTGAACAATTTCAACCAAAATATGTCTCGGCTTGTAATACATTACGAAAATCCATATCGCAAAATATATTACCTATGTTACAACCTATTGTCGATGCCGAACATCTTCATCAACAAATGTTTCAGGATATAATTAGTTTAACATTTCCTATGTATCATATACAGATACCAGCAGTCAATCAAGTGCGATCGAATGCTCTACTTGAATTCTATGAAAAATATAAATATCTTGGAAATGCGTCCATGTTAGAAGATCACATCGAATACGGATTATTGTCGATGAATTTCGATGTTGATTTGGTACCGGCTTTAAAATTGGACTTTTGGCCAGATGATATGCAAGTATTTCTCAATAGAATTCAAAATGCTCGACCACAACTATACGAAATCATTCGTGAGCAAGCATCTATGCATGTCATACCGAAATGGTCCAGCAAAACACTGGACATAGATCAAGAACTCGAATTTCGATATTCATTTTCAGCAATCGAACGTCTATTAGCTAAGCATCGTACACGAAGAGAACAAATTTTAAATGGTGTTGCACGAAGTATTTATTATCGATATCTGAAGAAAGAACCGTGCATTGAAGATCACACGAAAACCATTGTACCATCCTATTTTATCAAAACAACAGTATTATGGATGTGTGAATTGTACAATTTCAATGATCTATGTTCTGAGACGGACGATGATCAAACTATTGCCTATATAATGGCAAGAGAATGGTTGGACTATGTTAGATCATTATTACGTTCTAGCTGTTGTCCACATTATTTTATTGATTCCTTTAATCTATTAGAAACATGTTCATCGGCATCGTTAATTCGAGCAGAATCTATTCTAGAACATGAAATTCATTTGAACGAGGATATTAAAATCGATGTGTTAATAAAACAGGACGAATTGATGAGTAAAAAACAGCAAACAATGGAAAATTGGTTACAAAACATGAAAGTAAAAGATATTTTAGCTGCTGTGAATGATTACCGATTGTTGAGAGAAAATTGGTTATGTCCGTCAGAAGAAAACCAAGATGAAGGTGATGTATTGGATTGTTTGTACATCTTGAATCAATTACGAGCACTAGATGGTGATAAACAACAGAATTGGAGCACATTTCAACGTTTGTTCTTGACGGCTGATCAGACAAACTGGTTACCACCCACATGGGACGAACAAGTAGCCGATTGTTCTGTATGTGATTTCGTCGATGGTTTTATCGCATTAGGTACAACTATGAAAAATATTCTAGAGATCATGGAAAAATCAGATTTTGAACAAACACTGACTAGAAATAGCAGTGAAACAGAATTCTTTCGCCTGCAGAACCTTCTCAACGATCTAGTTCAACCATCCGGCATCGTTCAAAATGGTTTAATGACGTCTTGGATACCTATGTTTACCTGTTCCTATTTCAATGGGTCATCAAGAAGTATACCATCGATTCGACAACGTTCGGTCATTACTAACCATCCTACTGGACCATTTCAAGATCTTCTACAAGGCCGTACATGTCCGACACCGTTAAATTCTCAATCACGACAAACATATCAACAATATGCTCAAAGTGTTTCATATCAGATTCTGGATCTTTTGAATGATGCTCCCAATGTCGATATGACATTGGAAGATCTATTGAAATATCACGATCGACCATCGCAAACAACCCAGGTAGATCGGAACTTATTCTGACTTTTTTTTGTGATAATCTTTTTTTTCTAGCCTGTGATGACATCATCCATTGAAGAACAAATTCTCTCACATGCAACAAATCCTTCTTCTGTGAATAAAGAAAGTATTACATTAATTGTTTTCGATCCTAATCATATTATAAATAATACAACAGATGAAGAGTATCGTACTATCAATGATTATGTGTTAGTTTACGGTGCGAAGTCTCAATTACTTACTTACGTGCAATCGATCAGCGAAGAATTTATTTTCATAATTCTTTGTCAATATTCATCAGATGAAGAGTTTTTATCTCAATTAAATGGTTTGAATCAAATTCATTCTATTTGTATCTATTCTCCACAACAAGATGTTGACAATCAACTCATGAACAAATATTCAAAATTGATTGGTATCTTTACAGAACAAAATATATTATTTGATCAAGTGCGAACAAGCATTGAACGCTCATTTGCACTGCAATTTGGATTTTATGATCCAGAGCAGAAATTAACAACATACACAAGATTATCAAGAGAGAACGTCATATTTTTCTGGAATTTATTATTGAAAGATCTATTAATAACTGAACAACCAAAAGACAAAAGTTTTCTCATCCAAGACTGCCGAGAATATTATTGTCAAAATATTGTAGAAATGGAAAATATCGAACGATTTGAAAAGACATACGACTCTCATAATGCTCATGAATGGTATTCGAAACTTTGCTTTGTTTCTAAACTTCTCACGAAAGCATTTCATACAGCTGACATAGAACGATTGAAATCATTTAACTTTTTTATTCGTGATCTAACTAGTTTGATTATGGAAGACTCGTCTAGAATCGAACAACTCTATTGTACAAGAACAATAGAAAAAACTCAATTCGCAAAATTATTAGATAAGATCGGTCAACTAATGAGTTTCAGTGGATTTTTACTCGTACATCGTTCATTCAATGAGATAATACCATACGGCAACGAGTCACAAGTGACGGTTGCTTTTGAAATAAGCAATGTGTCTACATCTGTTGTTCATGTGATTGATTCGACTAGTGTAATAATCAATTTAGGTGTTACATTTAAACTGAACTCACTTGATTTTGATGATAAGTTAGGAGTCTGGATTGCTCATTTAATTTTCAGCCATGAAGGAGTACAAATAGCACAAAATTATATACGCGTACAACAAGAGACAATGGAACGAATGACATTACCACTCATAATGGCTAATTTACTATTCAAAATGAATGGTTTTTCAGCGACAAAAAAATATTTAGATAGCTTGAAAAATGAAGATGAAGCTCTTATCTATCACTTTTATGGAATTCTACATCATGAAAAAGGGGAATATGCATTAGCACTCGATAATTTTCAAATAGCTTATGAATTGATGATTAGTGATGGACGAATTCAAGATAGCGCCTTAGTCTTACATGATCTTGGCTATGTTTATGATATGAAAAAAGAGTTTAATAATGCTTTAGATAGTCATAAAAAAGCGTTGGAAATCACACAAACTTATTGTCAGGCAAATGATTTTCGTATTGGTATCAGCCTGTATAATATTGGTCGTACGTTAGTGAACATGGATGATCATAATCAAGCGTTAATTTACCATCAAAATGCCTTAGCGATCTTTGAACATACACTGACTTACAATCATATACACATAGCACAAAGCTTACACAGTCATGCAGTTGTATATTTCAATATGCGAGACTATAACCAAGCATTTGATTACTATACAAGAGCATTGGAGCTGTATGAAACGATCGTACCTCGAGATGAACATGGCATTCTAATGGTGAAAAATGCATTAGAAACAATTCAGGAACTTCTTCCTTGATATAGAACGACTCAATTCTTTTTTTTTTGTTGTTGTTGTTTTACATTTGTACTTATCAATCTAGAGTCATAATTATATATTCTTTAAGAGAAAAACGTTTGAGGGTGTGGGTGTGGGTGTAGGTGCGCTGTTAAAAGCAGAGTAACATTCACATCGTTTTTTTTAAATTGTTCCATCAGAATTGTAATAAAGAAACAGTTCATATCTTAGCATGAGGCATTATTGATAAACAGTCTGTGATGGTATAGCAACAACTGCTGTCATGATTTCTGATGAGAGGCTTGGGAATAAGACAACGTTGCTAAGAGGTCTGTCACGGTGTATGGTGAAGCAAAGACGTTACTAAGAATGTCTGTCACGGCTGAAAAAAAGGGAGAGTCCCAATTTCTACCTATAATTCAATACTTAGATCGTGCTTTACAAAAGCTATAGCTTAAAGACTTCATAAGACTTCACGAGATTTCAAGAATGAAGTCTGCTGCTGTCTGTTCCTCTCTATGATCTCTACATAAAAACATAAAAATTCCTTTGATGCTCAATAGTTCTATTAAACTTTGTAGAAACATTATGCTAAAATAGTTTCTCTTGACAATAACGCTCACATTTTACTCCTTCTTGTTCTGTCAATGATTTTGTGATAAAAGTACTTTTATGTTAACAAAGAAAAGAAAAAGATCTAGCTGATCTGTTCATAAAGATTTTTATAAAGATTCACTATAGTGTATTCGGTCATAAATAAACAGAATGATTTTCTGCCTAAAAAAAAATAAAAATTTCACAATGAAGATTTATTTTTTTTATTGAGTATTTGATCAAATCTGGTCACGTAGGATTCGTACGATGAATAACCAAACTTGATCAATGGCATTTACATATTTAGAGTATCCAATAAGGTTATATTCTGATAGTTATTCAACAAGATGCTTATTCTCTCCTTTTTACCGTTTGTTTTTTTGCACTATTTGTTCAAATGTCGTTGAAAATCAATGAAATAAGGAATCATATGGATTTCTATTAGGTCAAAAATTTCATAAAGAATCGGCTCGGTTGATTTCCGTATTCTATAACTGAATTTAGTAAAAAATTCGTAATCTAGAATAAATGTGACTAACCGTCGTTACTTCCAATAAAATCATGATACATTCATATTCAGCTAAAGTAAGACAAATGAAAAATTATTTGAATATAATTAAGTTCTTCAACATGATCATGATTTTTAATGAAGAACATTAAGTTGATATGAGACATTAAATGACTTAAATAATGATTGTATTGAGAAAAAAAAATGGGTAGACAATTATTGAATTGAAAAAACTATTGATGGTCAAAATGCGATAATTCTATAGAATAAAATCTATCATCGATACATTAATGTGTCATATTTAAAAGAAAATGATGTTAATGACAGTAGTTAGAAAGATTATTTCATAGAAAAGTTTCTCTTGAATCAAACTTCAATATGCGAAAGAAATTGGTATGATGTTTTATGAAGACTATCCCTTTTATTCTATGTAATAGTCCATGAAAATATTCATATTCAATTTAGAATCATATCTAAAGATAAATATATTCAACAAACATAAGATTTAGTTTTATATTTAATGATTGTCAAAAATACATTATTACGATTGGAAGAAAAATCGATACGTAGAAGTACCAAAGTTCTTCACTAATACAAGTAGAATACGTATAAAAATTAAATCGACTTTATTCATATCGAACGAACTAATTCTGATATACTCAATATTGAAATAACCTGATAGCAATTTATTACATTACATTATGTAAACATTTTTATATTTTTTCACCGAGAGAAAGACGATTAATATTTAAAAAAAAATTTATGAGTTTTATTAAAAATCAATTTATAATAATCCATCGAATGTTAATTAGGAAAAAAAACATTATGACATTTTCTTATCTCCGTTGAACATAAGTTCAACGATTCCTTGATTATTATCATCGTCATCGAACTTATCATCGTCATTATCAATAATATCATCAATACCATCATCATCACTACTTCTTGATGAATTTCTACCATCATTATCATTATCATTATCATTATCACTTTTATTGCTATTATCATCAATTGCATTTGGACGATTATCATCATCATCGCTACTTTCTTCTTTTTTTGTATCACCATTTTCTTCAGTATTTTCTGACTTGAGAGGTTTAGAAGATGTAGACGATACGGATTTAATAATATTTGAAGGCAGACGAGTACCAAGTAAACGTCGAGGACCTTTTACTGATGTTGATTGTGATATTGTTGTAAACATTGGTGTAGCAGCATAAATCGGATCTGTATTATGACGTTGTCTATCACAAAGAAAACTATAACGTTCAAAAGCTTGACTTGCTGGTAAACGGCGTCGATATTTACGTGGAGGTGGTAAAGGTGGAGGTGGAGGTGGAGGTAATTGATGATTTGATGATAATAATATTAATTTATCTAAATCATAAAGTTCTAAATGCTCCATTGAACGACGACGTATTCGACCATCCATAAATTCGAATAAAGATATTTTGTATTCAGAAAAATGAAATTGACTTTTTAGATAATATTAAATTTAGTCAAGTTGCTTATAGTATTTGTCCGTTTTTTCGCGTGTCACTATACGTATATTTCAACAAGAAATGCTTAATTTTATTAATTGATATACGTAATAAAATTGCGTTTGTATTGATGTATGTTTGCTGTCAAAAATACGTTATTTTTTGACTAATGTCTAATGTTTGAGACAACATATACTATCACGTGGAGTACGAACATGAAGCAAAGAAACGAATGCAATGAAAGAAAAAAAAAGGAATGAAAAAAGAAAAAGATGTATGGTTATGTCCTTGCAAAAATCAATCCTAGCCAAAGAACAGAAAAGAGAATTGACAAACATGAAACCGTATCATTTATTCTATGAATGTAAAATACCTTCAAAAAATTGCCTACTCACTTTAATCAAGAATAAAATGATTCTGTTTTTCTTTCTGATTAGAGATGGGTTTATCGCTTACTGTAACACATGGAGCCAATATCTACGAGGCAAAGATCACGATCAGATTTCATATAAATCATAGGCTAATCTGTGATACTCTTTACTGAACGAGTATATCCTCTTTTTATCTTATTAGAATGTCAATATTGATTGAATATCGTCCTCAAACATCTAGCAACTGTCTTCTTTTCGTCTCTGTTTTATTGAATTTCATCGATTTTTTTTCGAGATGATGTATATATGGCAATTACTTTCAATTGACCTATATGATGATATAAAATTTTGTCATTTAGCATGTAAAACAATAAAGAATGTTTCATTTTTGACCGATCATGAAAAAGATCACAGCTTTCGAATAGATTCATACAGACATGAAATTCGAACAGAGTTGAAGAAAGAACCGTCAAAAGTGAGATGTATATAAATACTATTCTTCTGACATAGTGTGATAAAATTTGTTTTTCATTTTAACTGATATTGATAGCAAGTGATGATTTGTGGGTTTTTTGACTATATGAGCAAAAATAGTCTCATCTAAACAAACTAATCGATTTTAATATTGATCAAATTATAATATTAATTTTTTCTCAACTCATTTAAAACTAATAACATAACATACAACTTTGCTTATTTATTAAAAATTAATATGATCGAAATTAAATAATTGATCAATAAAGAGAGATATTTCTTTTCTTATGTCGAGTCTATATAAATTACAATAAATTATAGTAAGAAGAATACTTTCGATAGGAGTTGATTCAAGATTGTCCCATTTGATTTTATAATGTATTTTAGCTAAAATTTGTAAACGAAACTAATCAAACATTGAATCAGATAATAGACGAATGGCATAACTCGAGAGTGTTAGTGTCAGTGTGAAGAAGAAAACATCTACAACCACACAAAAGTATAAACGTCGTCGCATGGATAAGTTCAGCTCATTACGTGATAATTCAAGTATTTTTCTTTTTCAACAAGACAATGTTCAAGTTCGTATAGCTAAAGTGGTATACATACATAAACTGTGATCGATGATTCGCATATTCTAGTTTGAATTGAATCGTTGATAACTTAGTTCAAACTTAAGATGAATTAAGTTTTAAACGTTGATCTGGAACATGTCGAGACATGTTCGTCTTTCTTGCTGCGCATGTACAATGATTGCGTGATTTAGACGCATGTCGACACAAAAAAAATTTTAACATGGTTATGAAACAAATATAGTTTTAATTATTCGAAACAATCGAAGTGGTGAAAAAAGTAAGAAAGAAAAAGAACATGTATATTATAATTTTTTTCCAAAACTTGCTCATGATTCTGTATCTACACACAACCAGTGTTTTATCCAGACGGGTGCCCGGGGGGGCCGCGCCCCCCCCCGAAAATCGGGGTCCCCCCCCCCGAAACTTGCGATCATCGTACTAAAAACACGTGGCGTGCTCTCCCGAAAATAATTTTTCGCCCCCCCGAAATTCCAAATCGCCCCTCCGGAGAAAAAATCCTGGATAAAACACTGCACACAACAATAGCAGCAAGTTACTTACAATGGAGGTGTGTGTGATGTAACTCAAGGAGATAGGACATATTCGGGTCAAATTAAAGGTCTCACTGTCAAACTAACAAATTTAAAATATGACGTGCTTATGGCTTACCTGGACCGAGATATTCGAATTTCAAGATATGTGAAATTTGGGTATAAAAAATGAATCAGGAAAGATTTTCTCCACTATTGTAAGGACAACACATAGTGTTGTTCGGGCCGACTAGGGGGCTTGGAGGGGTCCTCTTGCATATGGGCTGAGCACCATCTTGTTTTGTCGTTATAACAGTAGAATGCATTTTTTGGTGACTGATGGGAAACGCCATTTTCTATGAGCTACAGAAAAAATCCACTCTAGTATTATAAGGACGGAACATATTGTTCTTCGGGCCAATCTGGGGGTTATCAAGGATGCTCTTTCATTTGGTCCAAACAACACCATGTTTTGTCCTTAAAATACTAGAGTGAATTTTTTCTGTAGCTCATAGAAAACAGCGTTTCCTATCAGCCACCAAAAAAATGCACTCCACTATTATAAGGACAAAACATGGTGTTGCTCGAGCCATATGAAAGAGGACCCCTCCAAACCCCCTAGTCGGTCGGAACAACACTATGTTTTGTCCTTACCATCGTGGAGAAAATCTTTCCTGATTCATTTTTTATACCTAAAATTCACATATCTTGAAATTCGAATATCTCGGTCCAGGCAAGCCACAAGCATGTCATATTTAAAATTTGTTAGTTTGACAGTGAGACCTTTAATTTGACCCGAACATGTCCTATATCCTTGAGTTACATCACACACACCTCCATTGTTAGTTCGTTTATTTACTATCACATTATATTCTTCAGTAAAAACATCATAGAAAGAGCAATTAATTTAGAATATGTCCAAAAACAAGCTACATTTTCAACTGACGAATGCACATTGAAAAGTGAATTGTCTCATGTGTATGTATACATGAACTAATAGAAATACAGGGGGGAATAGAACATATTCTTGAAATTCGCTCATCAAACATATGAAACTTAGAATTTAGTGGGCATATCATTTTTAGTAACTATCAATTCTTCAATAATTTTGACAACTTTTGTCAACATCGACGGGAATAACTTTAACCCGGGGACAATATACATTCTTATCCATGCATTCTGTTATTCTTTAATCATTGCTTCTGGCAAGTAGGTTTGTTGTTGATAAGTGATAGTGATTCATAGATAGAAGTTGCAACGACGAGTCCAATTTTTGTTTAATCTACATCATTGTGATAAGGCTGAAGAATTATACTAAACATTAGTTTGTCTATTGATCGAAGATTATATGAAAATATGATCTTTTTTTATTATCATTGGATACATCGAATATAAACAAAGAGTATATACAACAGAAAATTTAATAAGAAAGGACTTCAAATATATGAAGATTGCCATCTTCAAGATCACTAAGATTTCGGAAAAAACGTTTCAATGATATCGGTTTCGTTTTTAAAAGGATGCGAAAGTACTTGAAAACAATTTCATATTTTTCTTGATATCTTCTCATAGCAAAGCATGCAAACTCCATTAAAAACCTCTTCCTCCAAAGCCTCCTACTATACCAAAGCTCTTAAACAGTATGAGAGTGGTTTATTATAATAGAGATACATATCAAAAAAGCACTTTCATTCTATGAACATGTTGTTCATATGGATCAATGCTTTATTATATTTAGACTATCTTCAATTTCAACTTCTGAAAAAAAAAAAGAAATTCTAAATAGCTTTTACATCTGTTCAGCAATATACATGTTTAATATTGAAAAAAATAATATAGAACATTTTTGATTGAAAATAACATCTGCATATATATAGAAAAGTCGATATTGCTGACAATACGAATAAGATCATTCTGATCTTATTATGTGATCGAGACATACAAATGTAGACATACATCGTGTAAGAACATTCTCTGTATTTTCCATGTCTTGACTAGAGGAATTGGTTTGTATTGGGTAAAACAGCTATCCAACAGACTTGTAAAAAATTTGATGAATGAAAAGTGTCTATGTCAAAGCATAAGTATTCCAATGTAACAATAAATCATTAGACTAAAAGAAAACAAGAAATCAAAGAAGTCTCAATCAATATTCCTACGAATATTGAACTATTGTTCCATTTGAAATAATAAAAGTAATTCGTCTATATACGTATTGATATAATTCATTATATTGGTAGAAGAAAAAACAACATTTATCTTATGCAAGAAGAATGTAAATAAGCTGAAAAATATTCCTTCACATAGTAAAATGATAATCCTCAATTGGTCTTTTGATTTATTTCCAGATGTAAGTATATTAACAAACAATTATTCATCCGTTTAGACAGATATATTTAGAAACAAAACAACTCGGATATACATGAAAAATTCAATGAAATATGAATGATTTGACTTTAATTCTGTTATCTTCGACAAATGACATGTTTTTCTATTACAAAAAGAAAAAAACAATATTTAGGCAGTCAAACTAAAGAATATTTTAACAATTTCAATTTATATCTGGACTTCAAAAACAAAATTGAAATGATGTAAATTTGAATTTTAAATACAATTTAATCATGGACACTTATCTATGACGCTATTATACAATTAACTTGAAATTATTGTTGTTATGAATGAAAAAAGATATTAGATTCTATTGTGAATTTTCTTATTTTCATGCCATTGTTCTAAACCATGTAAATTTTTTTTTGTATTTAAACTGCCTTAACTGAATCGAAAAATTTTATTCGTAACGTCAAGAAATTTTGTTTTAGCTTTTGAAATAGTGATATTTATAATCTAAAATTTAAATACAATGTCTTTTTATTATTATCGTGTCTCTTTAATAAAATATTAGTAATTCAAATCTCTGTATTGATAAAATCAAATCTATTCTACTTCCTGGTTTCTTAAACTGCTTTTGTGCATCATAAACATCAATTGATTTTTGCCATGA